ATAGTTTTACACTTCTGGTATGGTTTAAACTTGAGCTTGTTTTCTTACTAAGGGAAGAGATATGCTGGAACATTAATTTACAGATCTGGAGATGTTATAATGTAGAAACCAAATCTAGAGATGCTAAAAGGAGTATCCTGATCTAGCTTGGCTAGTACACATAAAATTTGTGAAATAGATAATGACATTTCTTAGACCTTGGCAGAAATTTCACCAAAATAATTATTATAAAAAAGTGAAATCTCCCTTTTAATACAGTCACTTAAGAAACAACCATCAAAATAATAGCTAACAATATTATAAGTAACTCTGTAGGGCTTAGTTGAATCTGGAATTGCATAGCTTAATGCACCATGTAAGTTCATATCATGTCTTAGTCTAAATTAAAAAAAAAAAAACTGAATAGAAACAAGAGATATATAATGCCTGTCATGGGATTTCAGCATGGAAAGCTGAGATGTGTCCACAAATAAACTTTTTTAGATAATTAAGGAATTTGGAGAGTTTTCTAGAGGAAAATAAGTATGGAAATAAACTAGTGATGCTTGTTCTCTCTGCTAGTGAGTACAGGCTGCGGATGTCGCCTGGGTCTGCTGTATGGTTTCTCACACAGTTAAATTATTAGATATTTAACATGGTCCTGGACTTAATGTAGTTCCAGGCTCTGAGTACCAATATTTGCATGAACTCAAGTGCAAATGGGAGTTTTGCCCTTTGGGGTGCTGTAGTGTTGGATGGATGGGGAGATGGCTAGAGGAGGTGCTGTGTTTCATGTATCCCAGTAATACTTCCTCTGCTGTTTTATATTTACAGAACTAAGATGAATGATACATGGCTCTAGATGATCTTTACTATAACTGGCAAGAATGTCTTCTTTCTTGCCTTGATTGTGAATAAAGCTTTTTTCTTTTTGAAGGAAACCTTACTAATATTTGGTGTAAGTAGTTTTGCTCAAGGAGTGAGGCAGTAGCAGGAGTGGTAGTCAGAGGCCTTGGGGTCCCTGGTGACATGGAAGCCACAGTAGCATGTAGGTGCACGCAGAGTAAATGGTGTTTGTGGAGCCAGCTGCTGCCCACAAGGCAGCTGTGACACTCTCTCCATGGTCTAGTCCCCTGGGTGTGGCACAAATATTGTTTCCTTTTCTGTTTCCATTGATGAAGCACCCCGGTATAACAATGATGTTTTCTGTCTGTGTCTCTCTTTCTTCCATTTGTAGATCAAGAGAGTAGTGATGATATTTAGTGATTATACTGTTGTAGCAAAGCATCTTGAGATTGACAGATGTTATGGAGGAACGACATTAATGTCAAGAGGCAGTTACTGCCACAGCTGTAAATCTGGATAAAAAGTGTCACACTGAGCAATTCTGACAAAACAGCATCTTTCTAAAGAAAACTGAACCATCTTGTGGGCCTGCATCACTTCTAACACCATTTTTGACAGGAATATGTCAAAATGAATTGCTTAACTTTTTTGTTTAATTTCTGTTATATCAAAATATTTCATAAGAAGTCATTCTTTTTTCACGTCTTTTTTCTTTTGACTGCTTCTGGGTAAATTGCACCTGTGAACTCTCTTCTATACTCTCTCTTGTGGGTTTTCCTACTGGGGGAATCTTTCTAACCCAGACAGATGACTTGATAACACTGTTTGTCCTCAGTCTGATTCGTGGTAAAAGAGGGCTTTGTACTCTTTGTATTTTTTTAAGAGAAGAAACAATCCTGAGGTATCAGTCCTTGATATGTTCAAATCTTTCCGTGTGGATCCCCACAAATCTTCCCTCTCAGTATGGAGCTCTCTTGTGTTTGAAATCCTCTGACTGTGAAAGTGCAACATGGTTAATGTTAAAGGACACTTTGATCCAGGAGGCCTGGGTGTGAGAGCAGTGTCAGAGACATGAAATAGTGTCTTTCAAATAGATGTACTGTTTATTCACCCCAAAGTACACAGGATGCGAACAGCCTGGGGATCACCTACTGCAACACTTATTTGAGATCTGCAGTGTTGAGAAATGGCCTTAGCTCGTTGCCACACCATTGCAATGGCCTCTGTCTAACTTGGCACTGAGAGACAGACTTTCCTCTTCCTGCTGCATGTTCCCCTCTGCTTTCCTCCAGGCTGAGTTCCTTACAGATCAGTGCCTTTCTAACCTTGAGAAATGGGCTGATGAAAGATATTTGTTACTGACTGATTCACCAATTCCTTCCCCTGAGGAGTTCTAGTATTCTGACTGAAGATATCCTAATGATAATAGTTTGTTTTCTGCTCTTTATGGCTAGCAGATCCCTTTGATTTAACTTCACAGAGCCAACCAAAGTAACGTCAAATAGGTAAAAACAGATACATGAAAAGAGCTTTAAAACCCACATATAGACTGTTTCCAAGGCACCCTTCGTTGTTGGCTTCTGGTCCAGCTCCATGTACTTACAATTTCAAGTAAATGCCTGAAAAGTCTATTGTATGATACAGTAGGAAATAATCCCCCTGGTAAGCTCTGAAAGCCTCTTAGAGATTTATTGTAGAAAATATTTCTTTTCATGATGCTTCAAATACTTCATCTTCTTATAAATTGATCAAAGCACCTATCCCCATTATCAATCAATGCCATGTTTGTTTAGCTAAACTCTTTATTCCTGTTTCTATCACCTGCTGGAGGCCAAATGATGGATCCAGGCTACTCAGGAGTAGGCTGTAATAGTTGTGTAATGCTGTTAGAGATCAAAAAAACCATTAAATGATTTTGTTAAGTAGGTGTTTCATTGCTGTGATTCCTTTGATGTTTGTGTCTATTTTTCCTGTGGCAAATCCATGGCAAAGTAGTATGCAGAAACACTTTGTAGCTGGAAAAAGATAGAAATTCCTCCTGCTTTACTCCAGATTGTAGGACAAAAAAAACAGTTCACAGTATTCTGCAAAGACAAGCATCCTAATTCTTAGATGTAGTCCTAGTATCCTTTTTTTTAGGAAGAAAAGAAAAATCTTTCCAGTGATGTATGACAGAACTCAGTAACTACAGAAGATACTGCTGAGAGAAATTGTCTGCTTACCATGTCTGATTAATTTTCCCATATATCTTTCAAAACGGAATGTAATTTTGGCATTTGGATTGCCAAGCCACAACTTGAAGTCTAACTTCTCTGGTAGCCAACACATCCTGTAGGTATTTAAAATCATTCAGTGAACTGCCAAAATAAGATTCTAATAAGGCTAATACATATTTTGTATGCCACAATTCAGGGAAATATTTCCATATGTTTATGTTTTTAATTACAGTACAAAAAGTAAATTAATGTTATTTAATTTTTAGTATTAATTGAACTGAAGTATCAAAAATTTACCTTTAATGAAAAATTTTTATTTAGCTTCATTAAGAATCCATATACAGTAATGTGTGGTGTATTTTTAAAATATTATGTTAGATACTAATTATTCGATTCTGCACTTTTTTTCAGTCAAGAATTGATAGGTAATAATAGTTTTCAAATTATCACACCCATAATTTTATTGTGTGATTTCCTATCAGATAACCTAATACTGTGCTCTATTCTATTTTATTGCTGTTATCTAGTAATTTCACTCATCTATATACCAGAAATAAATGTTGATATATTTTTAATCAGTCTGACATGAAAAGCAAATAAAAGATATATTTATATTTATTTGTGTAAAAAGCTACAGCTCATTGGCATCTCATTCACTTATCTGTGTCATCTTATGAGACACTGGGACTGAATACTGCATTGCTACATGAAGTGGGAATGAAAACTGTCTTATGCTCCATAGACAAATGAGTCTTAATCTGCTGATGTTATATGCAAGCTTTTATCTGGTGCCCAAAAAGGCACATCAAAATTGAAGGATGTATGATTTGAGTTCAGTGTACTCACTATATAGGTTAATGCTGGACAATAACAGAAATATCTCAGGTGTTACTGCCAGCAAGATTTGACAGAAAGCAGGGCAGCAAGGAAGACAAAATGACCACAAATTTTTCAAGACTGAGATCATTCTTTATCCCTTTATTCTACAATGGACATTGAAACTAGGCTTTCAATAGCGAATAAAGTTCTTAAAAGCCTGAAAACCTAAGAATAGCCTCCATGTTTCCTAATATACATATCCCTTAAAATTAAACTAATTTGCATTGAGATATTGCTGAAAGAGAATGCTCTTTAGTTTTGGGAACTCTGAACCCAGGGGGATATCAGATAGACAAATTTAGCACAATGACTTTTTTTTCAGGCATGTGTATGTCTGTACTGGAAGTTAGATGGAATAGCCTAAAACTGAAAGTTTAGTTTTCCCATTTTAACAGTTGATAGGAAAAGGAAACAAAAAATTACTGCTATATGAAAATTAATCAAAAATCAGTCAATTTGTTTTAAGTTTACTTTATAAAAGAAATAGGCAGGTTGAAATAGCATAATTTTCTAAATTGCTTCCCAGAATTTCTACTAGTAGGTATTGCACTGCAGTACCAGAAACTGTTGTTTCTGTTACTATAGAAGCACCAAGAGGACCTGAACAAGCATGCCCGTGTTTTGTTAGGTGCCCTGTGAATATTGAAAGAAGAAAATGTATCTTTGGTCTCAGCCTTAAGTTTGTATTGTGTCCACTGTTTGAGCAGTAAATTTTCTGTGAATATTGATGCAAAAGAGATGAAAGATGCAGGCTCAGAAATCCTCTAGTGCCACGCTTCTATCCTTATCAGAACAGAAAGCTTACAATTTCACTAATTTTTTTATTTCCTCTTTTGTATCTGTGTATGCACACATACACATACTGCAAACAGAGAAATTAAACAGTAAAATTGAAATGTCATGTGTATTCCTACTTCCATATTTCTGGTTTTTTTTCTTGCAGGTGTGTATTTTATTGTAGATGAAAAACAATAAAGAGCAAGGATGAAGTACAAAAACTTTTCGCTTTTACCTGTGCATACAGAAAAATGATATTTCTTGTTCTGGAGCCACCAAAATGATCTGAATTTCTTCTTTCAGATGGCTGTGATACTAAGAAGACAACTCTCAGAACAGCATGTCAAAGTGTCTTCCAATGCAGCAGTGGCGTTGGACATTTGCACTCTTGGGAAAAACAATTGAATGTAAGAACCAAACAAGTGATGAACAGAAAACAGAAATGAAAGTTAATTTTAGGTTTCTTTTCCTGAGCATCATGTTGGTATTTTCCTATGTTTTCTATCTTACATATAACCAATATCTCTTATAAAACTAATCTTTTTTCCCCCTTTGAGATTTTGTAAAAGTAGAAAGTAAATTCTTGAAGGTTTTGGTGTTTTATTGTTTTATTTTCAGGCTCTATCTTATGTGATTCATCTCATTTTTGTAGCTTTTTTATGCCATGAGTAACAGCACAAGAAAGACATTAGTAACAAGAATGCTTACTCATGGTTTTGGGGCTCCTGAGAGATTTCTTCTTCAACATGAGTTGAATAGCCAAGAGCTAGAAATATGAGAACTGTAAACTTAAACTTTTTGAAAGCATGCATGAAGTTATTACTATGTTACTATTACTAAAATAGTAATAATAATAAAAAATCAGAATAAGCTGGAATAGTCTCTCTATTAACTGTCACTCTTTTACAATATATTATTAAAATAAGAGTTATTAGATACAATGGCAAAAAATCATAATGAACAAGCAAGTTCTGAAATGCCAAGTTGTAATCAAACTGAGCACATACAAAAGGGTAGGTATTGTAAACAAACTCCCTTTTCATTAAGAATAATTGATTTACATAATTGTGAACTGTCAAGGGAACAAATAACTGCCAATCTTGGGCAGAACAACTAGTTCACTGGAAATTGTGATAATTAAAGTATTTAAATGTTGGATATTTGAGTGATAATATCAATGAACATTTCTATCCATAAGAATTGGTACTTTTCTTCCCTGAATTTATACTTGAAATCTACCTTTTTTTACACTTAGGGCATCACTTTCTACAAGGACTGAAATATAACAACAGTGATAGAGCACATTCTGTCAAATGTGTTGAAAAAAGGTTATGGTGAGCCTGTGGCAAACAAGCTTTAGTAGAGCGCTGAAGCAAAAATGAGGAGAAGTGTGTTCTCTATCTTGTTTTCCTTGCAGTATGATATCACAGAATGTTTTGGGTCAAGATGGGCCTTAGTAAAGACCGTCCAGTTCCAGCCCCCCTACAGCGGACAGAGACAACTTGCATCAGACCGTGTTGCTCAGAGCCCCACCTGGCCTGGCTTTGAACACTTCCATGGATGGGACATTGATGGTTTCTCTGGACAACCTGTTTCAGTGCCTCACCACCCCCACAGGTAAAGAATTTCTTCCTAACATCCTACCTAAACCTACTGTCTTTCAGTTAAAACCATTAGTCCTTGTCATTTCACTACACACCCCTGTAAAAATTCCCTCTCCAGCTGTGTGATGGTGTTCACAGGGGTCTTAGGATGAGGGAAGAGACGAAAATGTTGACTCCATGTTTCAGATGGCTTGATTTTATTTCATAATATATATTATGTTAAAACTATACTAAAATAATAGAAGGAAGGATTTCATCAGAAGGCTAGCTAAGAATAAAAAAAAGAAGGAATGATAACAAAAGCTTGTGTCTCGGACAGAGAGTCCAAGCCAGCTGACTGTGATTGGCCATTAATTAGAAAAAACCACATGAAACCAATCACAGATCCAGCTGTTGCATTCCACAGCAGCAGATAACCAATGTTTACATTCTGTTCCTGTGGCCTCTCAGTTTCTCAGGAGAAAAAATCCTAAGGAAAGGATTTTTCAGAAAATATCATGGCTACACAACTGTCTTGTAGAGCCTCTTTACGTATTGGAAGGTTCTATAAGGTTTCCTTGGAGCCTTCTCTTCTCCAGGCTGAACAACTCCATCTCTCTCAGCCTGTCTTTGTGGGACATTTACTCCATCCCTCTGATCATCTTTGTTGCCTCCTCTGGACTCACTCCAGCAGGTCCGTATTCTTCCTGTGCTGAAGGTCCTGGAATGGGACACAATACTCCAGGTGGAGTGTCAAGAGAGCAGAGTAGAGGGGGAGGAAAATCTCCCTTGATCTGCCATAATATTCCTTACTTGAAAAAAGCCATGAGATAGTTTTTGACTTGTGACTGTTCACAGTTTTTTATGAGCTAAGACTGGGCTTGGTCATATTCTCTGGTTTATAAAATTAAAGTAGGCTAAACTGTAAAGATATATAATTTGTATGGTTTCAAAGAAGTGGACTGCTATTCTCCATTGTTCAACAAGGTCTGGAGGGGGAAATGATCTGTCACAGACAATTTCCTTTGGGCCCCATCAATAGTACACTAATGAGATTTTTAAAGCTGCCATATTTTCAACATCTATTGAGAAAAGCAAGGGTATATGAAGCTGGGGTCAGAGGGATCTTGCCTGTGTACTTGCAGATAATACAAATCAACTTTAATAATTATATGATTATATCAGGGCAGTATTTATGTATTACATTGCTTATCATACTATTTCTGGTAAATGAAAAAAGACTGTACTTCAGGGACTGCTCTCAAAGGGACTGTCATCAGTGTCTAAATATACTTAGCTCGAGAAGGAAGGGTGGAACTGTTGCAGCCTATTTAAATTTAGGCTTTTAAGTTTAAAAACTTCAGGTGCAGCAGCCAGTCTGACAGGAAGCCTTGTTTTTCTGCTTGTATGATTTTGCTGTGAACAGAGCATAATCAGGATAGCACTCCAGTTTTGGAGCACATCCTAGCTCTTGCTTGAGTTCACACAACTGTATTACTTGTGTTAGGCTAGAGCTAAAGCACAGGAATCAAAAATTTAGCAAGTCAAAACATTTATGTATGGTTCCAAGCCATTTTACTAACCCTTTTGGATTTCAATCAAGCTATTTTGTGGTTATAAATAATTTCAAAGAAGCAAGAGTAAATTAGAAAAGCAAAAAAAAATATGCCTGCAGCCTCTACTGTCTTGAGAAAACTTACAACTGTGTTTAACTGAGGTATAAGATCCCAATGTAATATTTTTTAAAAGTCTGATAAAAATGAAATAAATTAGAAGAGAGGGGCAATTCTCATTCTTTGTCTGGGTCCTTTCTTAGATGTGTGACAATTGCAATGACACTGAGAATTATGTTTTATTATTCCACTGAAGCCTAAGCCACAGATCAGTCTTTGGTTGGCTTATGCATGTTTAAATCATAACAAGAAGATGCAGTGGGCAGCTCTAGTAAAATCCTTATTCAGCAAACTGCCAATGTTCACAAATGACTTATAAATATTGCAAATTGTACTCACCAGAAATCATGGCTGTAAGAATAGTGTGGGATTCCTGCAATTTTTTATGGGACTTGCAAGTAAGTAATAGACAGATACAAGCAATAAAAATAATCACAGAATGTCACAGACATCTTTTATGAAAAATCCTTTCCTTAGGATTTTTTCCTTCTGAGAAGCTGGGAGGCCTCAGGTACAAAATATAAACATTGATTATCTTCTGCTGTGGAATGCAACAAGTGGATCTGTGATTGGCCCATGTTATATGTTTGTAATTAATGGCCAATCACAGCCCTGCTGGCTCGGACGGAGAGCCGAGCCACAAACCTTTGTTATCATTCTTGGCTATTCTATTCTTAGCTAGCCTTCTGATGAAATCCTTTATTCTATTCTTTTAGTATAGCTTTAATATAATATATATAATAAAATTAATATATATAAATTATAAAATTTATATATAATATAAATATAATATCAAATAAAATAACAAATATCAATAAAATATATATCAAAAAATAATAAATCATGCTTTCTGAAACATGGAGTCAGATTCTCGTCTCTTCTCTCATCCAAGAACCCCTGTGAACACCGTCACAACAGAATCCCAGAACAAGCTGGGAAAGGACCACAAGGATCCTTGAGACCAGTTCCTGGCCCTGTACAGCACAATCTCCAAGGGTCACACAGGTGTCCAGGGATATTGTCCAAACACTTCTTGAACTCTTTCAGGTTTGGTGCTGTGAACACTTCCCTCAAGAGCTTGTTCCAGTGCCCAACCACCCTCTGGGTGAAGAACCTTCTCCTAATATCCAATCTAAACTTTCCCTCACACAGGGGAGGCTATTCCCTTGGGTCTTGTTGCTGGTCACCATGAAGAAAGATGCCCCTCCCCTCATGCAGAAGTTGTAGACTGCAGTGAGGTCTCCCCTCAGTCTCCTTGTCACCATGCTGAATAAACCAAGTGCCCTTGGCCACTCCTCCTACGGATTCACCTCAAGGCCCTTCATCTTTGTGGTATGCAAAACCCTCCTTTGGATTCTCTCTAATACCTTAATGTCCTTCTTACACTGTGACACCCAAAACTGTCCCCAGCACTTGTGATGAGGCTGCCTCAGCCCAGAGCAGAGTGAGACAATCCCCTTCCTTGCCTGGCTGGCCATGCTGTGCCTGATGCCCCCCAGGATGGGGTTGGCCCTCCCGGCTTCCAGGGCACTGCTGGCTCATGTTTGCTGACTCATGTTTGCCACTGCTGACTCATGTTCTCCAGCATTTTCCCTTGTTGAGCTTCATGCGGTTGGTGATTTATTGAGGTCTCTCTGAAGGGCCTCTCTGCTTTTGAGGGAATCAAGAGCTCCTCCCACTTTTGTATCACCTGTAAAATTGCTCAGTATTGCATCCAGTCTTGCTACATCATTAATGAAGGTTGAAGAGGACAGGGCCAAGGATGGAGCCCTGTGGAGCATAGAGACAAGTCACCACTCTGACATCACCCCATTCTCTATAACCCTTTGTACATGACCTGTCAGCCAGTTGCTCACCCACCCCATGATGTTTTTATTCAGATGTGTGCTGGACATTTTGTCCAGAATGATCCCCTGAGAGACAGTATCAAAAGCTTTGTTGAATTCTTAACAGATTGCCTCTTATTACTGGTTTCCCTTGATAACTAGGTGGGTTACCTGGTCATAAAAGGAAATCAGGTTTGCTAAGCTGGGATTTCCTCTCATGAAGCTGGGCTGGCTGTGACTAATGACTGTGTTGTTCTTCAGGTGTTTTTCAATACCTCCCAGAATAAAAATCCAAGATTATAACTAGGCTCAAAAGAATTGGGCAAGAAATCTGAGCTTTCAAGTGTTTACCTCTGGAGTGGATTCTGTGCTCAGAATGTCTTCTGGTCATAGCTCCAGTTTTACACCTCTTTTCAGGCACATTCACAAGCATGAAGCCTGGGAGCAGCCCTGTGTGTTTTCTCCTGTCCAGATATACATTAGTCCAGTCCCTGTGGCCCGTTTGTGCACTCTTTTCAGGCTTGGAAACCCTCTTCAAGGATCAGACATGGAGTATTTAGGGTTCTCATCACTGGTCTTGAAGGCAATTTTGTCCTTCCTGGAAGGTAGCTCTAACTGCTGGGTGGTACTGTGGATTTAATGCCTATGTCGTGTTCATGACACAGAGTATGGCTTTCCTTCTCATCTGTTCTAGCTTGTAAATTGTACATATTCCTTCTCAATAAAAGAGAATGGAGGAGCCTTTTTAGCTTAAAAACAGCACTGACCTTCAGCTGACAGAAAAAAATGTACACCTCAGCATATTTATGTGCATGTACAAGAGCGTATGTAATCTTTTGTGGTATGTATACTTTAAAAGTAGCCTATATGTTTTGCAATTCAAGAGAAATTAAAATGTTTTGAAAATAATAGTATTAGTTATGATAGCTGGTATCATAGCTAATCATATTACAGAGACAAGAACAGAGACTGTTCTTGTCTCTGTAATAACAGTACCAGTTAAATTGCTATGATGAGGAAAGCAATTCATAAATATTGCAGTAGCAGATGTGACTTAGGAAGTGGTTTGCAGTTCCAAGGCTATCACTTTGATTGATTGTAGTGACAGTGAAGTTGCTGGAGGTTATATTTTTAAATTAGACTTGAATTTAAAATAGAATACTAGCTCCCTCTTTTGCGTCAGAATCTGTTATTTATCTCCGATACAAAAGAGAACATGATCTGGAAAAGCAGACATTACTTAGACTTAAATCCATGATTTTTAAGAGTAGTCTACCTAGAAATAGTTCACATTAATTGAATTTATTGAATTTATAATGCTCCAGATAATATATCCTGAGGAACAGAGTGAAGCATTTATAGAACCATGACGTAAAAGGGTGTGTGTAGTGGTTTCTATTTGTATATCTGAGCAGCTCTGCTCTTCCCATTGTATCAGCAGGCCATGCCAAAGTGTCAACATGCATCATGAACTGATTTCCAAAGACCTCCTTTTCCTGAGGCAGAATCCTTGTTCTAGTGCAGGGGCAGGAACGTGATGAGTACCTACCTAATTTATACTTGTACTGCTACTGTGGGCAACTCCCCAGAGCACAGCAACCTCTCTTCATTGAGGTTATAAACAAATTGTTGCATTTTGAACAATTTGTTGTAATCTCTTTTGGATTTCAGGGGGTCCTTTGATGCAAAAAATATGTTAAAAATTTATGATTTGATATTTTCTTCAATATTGAATCATGTTTGTTTCCTTTATATCTCCTTTATATCTTTTTTTTTCCCCGGTCTTTCAATCTGCAGAAAAACATTTTTCTGTGTACATACTTATCTACACATATGGAGTTTCTTTCAAAAAACTGATAGCTAAATTGATGTTGCTTTGTCATTTGAAATTTATAATGTCCATCTCATGTTTTTTGTTTGATTCGAATTTCCTGTGGGTAAGGCAACTTAATGGTAAAATAGAGGAGTCATGAAAAGGGAATGCAAAACTTTAGATTCTGCATACTAAACATAAAAAGAATATATTTCAGTTTCTTAGCAACTCCTGCATAATGATTCAAAAAATACATACCCATTTTGGAAGAGATTCTAAGGCCTACTAGCATAGCACATTGATAAGCCTTTCTTAGAATGTACATGTTCTATATGCTGATCTTTTAGGAATACGTATCAGTCCTGTTGACCTGCACCTAGGAATGGGTGCTTTTAATTACAGGTGGCTGTTTCTGAAAGCCTATTTTCTAGTAAATGCCAGAAACTCTGCCTTCTCAACATAAATAAGACATATTTTGATGAAAATAAGAAAAGATCTGCAGATCAAAATAAAATTTTGACATTGCTAATTGAAACTGTTGCCTCAAGAGGCAGTGAATGCCAGCTTAAACAGAGAAGGCTCAAGATGAATATCAGGCAAGACTTTTTCATTGTGACTGGTCACTGGCATGGGTACTCTGAAGAACCTCTGTCCTTGGAGATATTAAAGAGCTGTCTGGACATGGTTTTCAGCAACCTGCTCTAAATGAGTCTGCTTGAGCAGGGGATTTGGGCAATGTGACCTTTGGAGGTCTGTTTCAATTTTCACCATTCTGTGATTTTATGACCTCTCATTTCTCATTCTTCTGATTTTATATCAGCTTTCATGCTTTGGTATGCAGGAAGCAAAAACAGCCAGAGAGACTGCTGCAGGACTATATGAACAGTAATCTCAAAAAAAATTGCATTTTTTTTGTAATTTTAGCATTTTAAAACATTTTAAATTTTAACAATTTTAAATAGTTGAGAAAAACTTTGCTTTAATATAGGAAACATCTCAGAAAAGTAGAGTTTAATAGCTACTTTGATTTTATCTGTGGAATTTAGCCTGGCATTTTGTTCCTCTTGAACTGTGAACATTGCATGTGTTTTCACACTGCCTTTCTCAACTGTTCCTACTAGGCACATACTGATTTAATCAAATCTTACAGCTGTAGCTGAAAAGTGCTCTGAATAATAATAAGGCTTTTATACTGAATATGACTTCATTTAGAAAATATTACTGATGCAAGATGACAGATTCATTAAACTGCCTAATTGATCAATGTGCTTATACTTCAGAAAATTCTATTTTTACAAGTTAGATGACTTGGTTATCTAATAATATTTTATGTACCTTGTTTTGCTTTACAGTGTTGTTTGATGAATAGCTCTTGTGAACCAAAAAATTAAACCAATGATCCAAAATTAGCTTCATTAGACAGGTGAGACTCCAGTTTGGTGCTTTTCTATGTGAGGAAGAGCATGGAGATTTTACATGGAAACACAAGATTTATTCCTTAAAGAAGTTGGTCTTTGCAAGCTGCAAAGCATCAAGGATGCTTAATTTTTTTTTGTTGTTGAAAGAGACATTATGCTGTCTCTATGACCACTCCACTTGCTTGCTAGTAGCCCTATTTCATTAGTGCAGATAGATACAACCAAAATAATTCTTTCTTCAATAACTAGATAAGAAAAAAAAGGACAGCTAGACATTAGAGTAAATTTGATCTCTTTGCTACACATTGAATTTGCTATAGCCTATTGGTACTTTTTGATTATTAAATCAGCATATTTTTGAAACTACTGCTCTATCCTTTGACTGAGACTGAATAACTGGTTCAGTCTTTGTCATGTTAGTAAAACCATAGTGTAAAGTTGACACACAAGTGTAGTAATAAAAGTTTTTGTTTGAAAGTAAAACATAAACACGACTACTTCTGTTAAATTTTTACTTTAGCCCTTATTGTTGAAGAAGGAAATTTTGGGAGTCCCCACTTAATTTCTAATCTGTAGTTTTGTTGTCTGTAGTAAGGAGTAACTATTTATTCTTTCAATGTCACATCATGCACTGCTCTCTTGTACTGAAGAAAGATTAATCACACTCTCATTCTCGAAGTAAACATTTCTCCCCTAAAATTCTGCTGTGTTTTTTCTAATTACCGTCCCATTCCATTATATCAGTGAAAAATTTTCATTCACAACTAATAACTATTAATTAAGTCTAATTAATAAAATATCTGTCTACAAAATCAACTACTTAACAATTCTGTCGGTAGAAAAAGTGAAAATATTTGCCATGTATGGCTGGGGCATGACATGACATTGGTCAACAACATGCTAGAATCAAGACACTAGAAATGGACAATAATAAAATGAAAATATCTGGTGCTCCATGTGTTCATGCTGATTTAGAGGACATGGGGATAGAATTCAGCTTAAGGAAAGAGTGCACAGAAGCACTGGATCCTAGCAAGTTGGCGTTTGGAGTTTATGCTCTATACACAATGAAGCTTCAGTCAGGATCATTTACATTGTAGTAAGGAAAAATGTTCTAGCTGCAATGGTTAGTAAATATAATGGTTGATTGCTTATACAGATCATATCTGATCCTGCTTTTAGGGGAAATACAGAAAATACAATGTGAAAATCTAATTGCATAAGCAGCTATTTCTGGTAAACACAAGCAGCTACAAGAGAAGTAAGGACTATCCT